AGATCGATGCTTAAGTTTCAGTTTATTTTCTCTATGTTTAGTAGAATCACCAATTCACTTCAGCATGTTTTTGGACTGGGCTGCAAGGTGGTCCAGCAAGAAGTTCCCGCGTCCTGGTTAGGACACCCAGGATCTTTCTACATGGAGTTTGCATGTTCTCCCTGTGTAGTGTGGGTTCTCTCCAGGTTCTCTGGCTTCCTCCCACAGTCCAAAAACATGTTGAGGTTAATTGGGGATTCTAAATTATACGTAGCGTGGCAGGATGAAGCCTCATTTCTGCGCCTCATGTGAGTGTGCTATTCAACCTATCACCGCTTGAGGGCACTCCATATCAGGGTGCGGTGCCCATCTTGGTGCCTCTTGCTCTTGGCTCTGAGACCGCCCACTTCCGGGTCGCCTTGCTGTCGCTTGTCAGGTACCGGCGGCGCTCCACGCAGCCGCAAGTGTCGCGGACCCCGTGCCGGCGCGTTTGGCTCGCGGCTACCTGTTCGGTCATTGTAATTTGGTGTCTTCTGCTATTGCCGCTACGTAAGAGCGTGTCCCTCACCTCTCCCTCAGGTGACGACTGAACACAGCTGAACGAGGCTGTGACTGGAGGTGTGGCTGCATGTTGGGACCGCTGCTGCTTTGCTTTGGTTAGCGGCGCTCCGCTGCTTTGCCGGTGTTAGCATCGCCGTCGCTCTGCGGCTTTGCTCTGCTTTGTATCATTTTACTTTGCTCCACTTTGCCTCACCTAACCTGTCATATTATGTTACTTAAAACATGAACGAGAGACACGTTTCGAACAAACTTACTCTTTACTCTGCTCGTCTTCTTACTCATACACAGCAGGTTCAAAACACAAACACTGGTGCCGTGACTCCCCCTACTGGTCGGAGTCATACATGCAACATACATCACATAACCTGGCAGCATTCTTTGTCTTGCCTTTGTAATATTTTTTTGTGTTATTTTGGTTAGTTGTCTTATATTTTGTTTAAGTTTGCCTAGCATAGCTCAGCTTTCCTTTGCTTGGCTTCGCTTCATTTGGTTTGCTGTTTTTGCTTCTGTTACCTGTGTTGGGCTTTGTGTCGCCTTGTTTAGCTTGTGTGATTTTGTTTTGCCTTGTTATGGTTTGTGTTTTGAGTTTGTTTTCTTTATTTTGCATGCGTTTGCAAGGATTGCTTCTTGAGTTAATTTATTTCTCCTTTTTTTGCATGGTTTTCTTGATTTCTTATTTGCTTTGCATGATTGTCCTTGATTTTCATTGGCTTGCTTTCTTTTGAATCTGCCTTGTGGGATGTGGGATTTTTGTGGTTTAAATTCTATATTTTAAATTCTGTTAATGTATTTTAACTATTGTAAGAAAATAAAATCTATTTTTATAATGTAGAACCACGTCTCACCCAGTGTGTTGCGAACCTGTGTGCTTTGCTGTGAGTGAACAAGGAGTAGTGTCGGTTTTCTGGGTGTGAACCTTAAACCCAGGTGGCGCTGTCGGTCAACACTTATTTCCCCTTAGTCTATTATTTAGGCAATCTATTCGTAGCGCCCCCGCACGCCCACTCGCCACAATCGGTTTGAATGTCAGTGTGCTTGGTTGTCTCTCTGTGTAGCCCTGTGATACACTGGTGACCTGTCCATGGTGTCCTTCGCTCTGAGGCGGCTGGGATAGGCTCCAGCCCCCTCGCGACCCTAGTGAGGATTAAGCAATGTATAGATAATAGATGGATGAATGAATATTTTTGGACTGTGTGGGGGGAAGCCAGAGAACCCATTCAGGGAGAACATGCAAACTCCACACAGAAAGATCCCAGGCTGAGATTTGAACCCAGGATCTTCAAACTGCAAGGTGACACCACCGACATCAAAACAATCTCATAATAATTATCATGCACTTGCACGAATGTCACACGTGACATTTTAACTGGCAGACTGTCAAAAAAGGTTACATGTATGACCATTTGTTTGCAGTCTAATGGCCTAGTAAGTATTTTCTTTTTTTAAATGTATTTTTATGTACGGAGCCCGTCTGGTGATATCGATAAGAAATAACAAAAAAAAAATTACTCGTTCCCACGCATTAGTCGCGTGCGAACGACATAGTTGTTCACGGTGTTTCATCGCAAGAGATCGCAGGATATCGGTGTAGTTCATTCCAAGGTTAAAATCAAATCAAATCAAAATGCTCCATGTTTCATGCAAGCACGCGCGTTATCCTTAATTCAACAGCTGGTATGACCGCACTGTGAAATTTGCTCCACAACTTCTCTTGTTTCTTCATATTAGTAGTGCAAGGCCACAATTTAACTATTTCGTTCCCATGCATTAATAACTCGTGGCCACGATTTACTAATGCATGCGAACGAGTCATTTTTATTTCATATCGATGTCACCAGCCGGGCTCCGTATTGATGCATCATGAAAACTTAAATTAATTAGATTTTTTTTTTTTCAAGGATTGCCACTTGAGAAACTCACAGTTGTACAAGTGTTTTACCTTCAGACACAGCGGATACCAGTTGAAGCTCTGGGAGGCCTTGTCCTCAAACATCAAGCCATCCAGTGGGATGAGTACATCGCCAAGAAACGCTTTTCTTTTCAGAGTTCCTGAATGCCACACAGAAGCCTGCAGTCTCTTTCCAAACAGCAGATGGCGCTCTATGTCATACTGTCAAAAATTAGATCAGGAACTTTAGGCATGATGCAGGAACTGAGGCTGATGATATTCTTTTTCTTTTTTTTTTTTTTATACCTTTAAAAGTTCATTGTAAACTGGATCTGTCGTGTTTCTCTTGACTGTTGTCTTCAGCTTGACACTCTTGTCTGGCAGCACACAGAGTTTGACATATCTACATGCAAAATAAATACAGGATGCTGAGGTTTTGATTGAGCATCACACAAGAAAATGGGACCACAGTGTATAAGATGCACAACATAATATTAAATTGTTCTTACGGGTGACACTTCCTCCTCTTGCTGTCTCTGTAAGTGAGATTTCTGCAGGTGCCGACAGTGATGTCCAGACTGGACGTGGTGGTATTGTAGGCCAGAGCCAGTTCCAACTCTCCTGCTACAGTGATGTTCTCAACGAGTCCACAGTCTGTGCTGATGCTTCCATTACTGCCCTGAGGGCACAAAATACAGAATGTACCTTTCCATTTTCTTTCTTTCTTTCTTTTTTTTTTTTTTTAAAAAAAGACAGACAGACACATTATAACACTTAATTTTAATTTATGCTTAATTCAACTGAAGTAAACATACAGAAGGGGGGATTCAGTGAGTTATGAGACTGAAATGATCCTAATGAATAATATGATATTTCAACCACAATATGTTGCTTTGATTTTCTTTCTAATCATCAGCTTTGACTCACTCTCTCTACTCCTCCAGAGTACTCAGAACTGAAGGAAGTTTCTTCTTCTGTCCCAGTGGGGGAGCTGTCCTGGTCACTGTCTTTGCTTTTCTTGAAAAGATTTGGAAGACTTGGGACTTTAAAGAGCTGCAAAAACAAGATGGATGTGTTTATTTCTTGCACGTTTACTCACTGATACCATTAACCTTACCAGAAGGCATTTCATAGGTTTGTTATGTAATACCAATTACGTTATTACTTGGTCAAGTGCGAGCACTTGTGATGGCACAATAGCCAACAACTGTCACTCTTTGAGACTGGCAGTTTCTGCTGGTATTTGTTCTCAACAACAGTAGAAACAAATCTGAGATTAGTCCCTTTTGCAGGTTTTTTTTCAGTAGTTGCATGATCCAATTTGAATTTGAAAACTCTTCTGACCCAGTCACGTGTTATGTAACAGATAGGTATCAGAGTTTTTTGTATTCAAGGACTTTTGCTGTAAGACTGTGTGAGACTGAGTGAGACTTACTTTGCTAGATTTACTAATGTCGGTGTCAGACAGGCTCTTCTGGGTGCTGTAGTTGAAATAAGGTCCTCTCTGGCTGTTGTCAACTTTCAGCAAGTGTCCTCGCACATCATTCTGAGAAGTGGAAATCTCTGCAACGACAAAGTCGGGCACTCCAAACTCAGAAAACCAGAAGCAAGTGTTTGCTTATAGAAAAACAAAACAAAACACACAAATACAGCAAAAACTAAACAAGAATATTTGTTCACTGCTTGGACATATTTTCAGTGATCAAAAAGATGCATGTTTTTTTCCTTTGCAGCATACACAATATGTTTCTATCATTATCTTATGTAACTTCTGCTCATACAGTAGGTATGATGATGTAATCGGGGGGTTTGCATCGTTTCAGGCGAATTTCCTTTGTGGTTATTTTTGTGCGTATATCCTGCTAATCAATGAAGAGATCAGACTATGTTGCGATAAGATCCACAGGAAACATCGTCTCTAATTCTGAAGAGTCAACATCTCACCAAAATGCACATTGAGAGTACTTAATGTGTTTCAGTTTTTGTAGCTACCAAATAAAGACTTTCTTATCCTTTAAATGCTGACCATTTAGCTGAGGTGAGAAAATGTTTAGCAACAACTTACTTTTCATTTGACTTGTAAAGGAAACCACCAGATTTTCCAAAGATGTGGTAAAAGGCTTCAGATTTTTCAAATCCTGCAAATCAAAACATAAAAATCATTGGTACTCGGTTCATACATTTTACATTTTAGAGTAATATAATGCTGAATATTTAATCAGTACTTTACCCCAGATCTGCCCAGATTTTGATAATCCAAGTGGGGTGGAGGAGTTGGAGGTACGACTGATACATAACTGTGAAGACCATGGGAAATAAGTTATGCATTTAATGAATTAAAACTTGAACACTCAAAATCAACATGTAAAATATAATATAATATATATATATATATATATATATATATAATCGTACCTTTGAACATTGTAGGTTTTTAATAATTCTTCCCCAATCGTCTCATATTTGTCTGTAAAGAACATAAATATTTTGAAAGATTACACTACTGTGAAAAAGGTGAATGGACTTAATTTTGTCAGAAAAATAAAATATGTAACTTTATGCTTGCAAAACTAACACATTTGGAAAGTATGTAACAATTAAAAAAATACAAAAGGCAGTAAAGCTCAAACAAACAAATGGGATCATTCATATTTTATAAATCACTGTAGGTAAACTGAATATTATCAAAAGATTGACAATTAGAATAATGATTTGTTATTTATTTATTTATTTTTTATAAAAGGAACCAGTCAACTGCAGTCTGAGTATTTTAAGCAAACCTGTGGTGACTGGAAATTTTTTTGCCTTTTCCTCTAAAAACCACTCTCCTGATCTGAGTTTCACCACCCTGTGAAAAAGAAAAGAAAAAAAAAAGTGAAATAAGTAGGTTGAAATTTTTACACAATGACAAAAATAACAAGACGTACTACTGCTAAAAAGGCAACAAATACAATTTTCCTTGTTATCTGACATCATTGTTTTAGGTCATGCATTCTTAATGTCTCTTGACTTAGGCTTCAGTTTCAGTCTTTTTTTTTTTTTTTTTTTTTGACAGATTTACCAGATATTTGAAGTAGTGAAAGACACCTTTTTTTTTCTTGACCAACCCAATTGACGAAAATTATCCTGTTTTCAGACAAGGTTAAACAATCACTATGAATGACCACATCCATAATTAATCCACATTTGTTGTGATTGAATGTTGTTTTCTCCTGTTTTTTTCTGTACTCTAGAAAATAACCATAAGTACATCTTTTTGTTTTGGTCAGTCACCACTCTTGTTGTTTAAATAAAGTCAGTATAGTAACCTACAGACAGTTGTTAACTGCTCTTTACATATGCACTGATCAGCTTTAACATTTAAATGACCTAAGAATAAGAATAAGAATAATACATTGCCTAATATTGTGTAGGTCTCCCTGTCGGGGAATGCACACAGAACCTCTAAGGTATTTCTGTGGTATCGCGGGCCAGGGCACTGGCAGTGGCTCATTTGGGTCCTGTTTTGAGTCACCCACTGAAGTGGGTCCTCCATGAATAGGGCTTGTTCCAGTGCATCCTGCAAATACTCAAATCAGTTTGGAATCTGGGGAATTTGGAAAGGAGATCCCTCTTGGTCATGTTTATTGAACTGTCCTTGAGCAGCTTTTGCATTGTCGCAAGCTGCATTATCCTGCTGAGGGTAGACGCTGGTGTTGAGGGCAGTGGCTGGGCCAGACAATTTTTATAGGGGTGGCCAGCTGAAACAATTACTTATATTGGAGTGACACGGTCTCCTTAATTCTTAAAAGCTAATTTCTGTAGGCAAAATGGTCAGTTTTTTAAGTCACTCTCTCTTTTTGTTTGCATATGTAGGCAAGACTGCTGTGTAATAATAACACGAGGACCCATAAACAGTTCTATAAGCCAAACTTTATTCTGTGGTGACGTGGCCACCTCATGGTCTAGGAGCCCTCTTGCCATACAGAAAGTGTGCTTGGTCTGTAACCAAGACTAGTACATGTCAAAGTAACATCCATATGACAACCAGTGCCCAAGGTTTCCCACGACAACACAGATAGTCAGTGCTATTCACATCATCTGTCAGTAGTTTTAATGTTGAGGCTGATCAGTGTATATTCATTTAGTGCTGTCATTTGAACACCTCTGTGTCACAGAATTTATTTCTCAATGCAGCAGGCCGGTGCTTGTCTCTCTACCTGTAGGCATAGCAGACCTCACACTTCCAGTCTATTGCTCCCACACGGCACATGCTGCAGATGCGGTGGCTGCAGCCGCGGCACACTGCGCCTGAGTTCCACAACTTCCCCAGCGGTCTCTGGCAGCAAGCGCACTTTCGCTCCCCATACTGCTGGCCCAAACTTTTTACATCCTTCCTTCGAAGGTCCTGCAGCTCATGCTTCATCCTTCTGAAGGGAGATTTTTAGCTGTCAGTGTCAAACCTAACTTCTCAAAGACAGTTTTTCTTCTGTAACAACTGAAGAGTAAAACCTATGTTGAGTCAATTTTAAACGTGCTATGCATCCTTCAAACTACTAAAAGTCCATTTTAACAGCATCAATTTGGAACACATAAAGGGACAATGTATACATGCTTCTGCTTTTTTTTGCTGAGGGTTACAGGAAAAGATTGATATGACTCTCATGACTGTGTATTAAACATAAGACTACTGACAGTTACCTTAGATTTGAAAATAGACTGGAATCAGAAGAAAGCTGCTTGGCTCTGTCAAAAACAAAATCTACCTTCTGACACATTTAAAGCTCTCAAACACAATGAATTTATTTTGATTTTGAAACAGGGTTGAGGTAAAAAGCACATCACAATATTTTTTGTTTCCACTGTTGCTTTCCTCATAATTTTGTCATCATCTTATTGTGGTCATTCTGATGATCACCACCAAGGCTGCTACTTCAGTCTTGTTTCAAAATCATAAAGAAGCAATTCTGAACATGTACAGTTGTCTGAAATGACTCACCTGATCCTGTCCTCTTCAATTGTACGCAGTTGTTTGTCCCTCCGAAGAACCTCCAGGACTCTCTCTTTTTCAAGAACTTTAAGCAAACTTAAGTCCATTTTTAAACAACAGCCTCTGATCATCTGTCACTGCTCCTTTTTTTCTCTTTCTGGCCTCCCCTCTGCCTCACTGTCTTTTTGTTCCTAACTCCTCCCCTCTCCTCTTTAACCCTCCCTCTTACTAGACCCACCCTCAGACCTCTGCTTTAGTCTTTGGGGGCTGAGAATAAATACTAGCAACAGTTCCCAACAATTATGGCAATGCCTTCTTTTAATAGTTATATCTCTAAAGGTGGGGGAAAATTTACAAGTCTGCTAACTGATGACACAGATAGTCAGCTTCACAGTAACCTCAGAACCTATGCAGGACAGGATGTGATGACAGATTACATTGGGTAATATTTCAAGCTCCAAATGATGATTAGTTTCCTCTCATCTCCTCTCACACAGCTCGTGTCCTCATAATCCTCCTCCCATTCAGTCGTTTTGGCAAACCATCGCTGCTTCCTAAGCTGCAGGAAGAGCAGTCATGGTTCATGAGCATGGCAGCAGGGTTGTAAAAACAAAGCAAATGCCAACTGTTGCATTATTGATGGTTGACATGCACCCATGTCCAGATTCTTTTGTTGCAGGTCGGATGGCTCTATGTTAAAATGAATAATTTAACATTACAAAAAACATACTTATTCACTTTCTTGTAAAGATTTAGACTAGAGGATGCCACTTTCTTGTTTGTGAAAAAGATAAAGCTTCATCTGGTTAGCTTAGCTAAGCATAAAGGCTGAAAGTCAAGGGAAGCAGTTGGCCTGAAATGGGGGCAAACAGCTGGCTATTAAACACATTGTATCTCATTTATAAAAATTTTTAGATTTAGAAAATTTAGATTTTATAAGGGTTTTGAATCAGATTATGTCCAGATGTAGTGATGTATGAGAAAACTCCAGGAATTTTCCTAACTATAACTTTTATTATGGCTCCTTTTCCCTCCAGTCTTTCTCCATTTTTAGCTTGTCTTTTGTATGTTAATGATAGAGATTCATAAAGTCCTTTTCACAGTCAGTTTAGGGGTGATCATCTTCATATGAATTTTAAGTATACTCATTTCATATATGCCTCTACAATGAAATGAGCTGGATGACTCAGCTTGTCTGTGGTTAGTGGTGATTGAGCTGACATCCGAGAAGAGAGGGTGGAGGATCATAATAGGCTACCACAGCAGTGAACGTAAAGGATACCTGACTGATTACAGTGGGATCTAAATATGTCATCGAAATGCTGTGAGAAAGACCAAACCAGTCACACATTTTACACCCAGAGCTGAGCTTCCTGGAAGACTTGAGTTAACAGCTACATACCTTACGTCAGCTCTAGGGGCATGTCTATACTTAGAGCCAGACTGATCGCAAGTAAATTCCAAATAAAAACCTACTGACTTTTTGAAGCCATGCTGAGATCTTCTGAGTAGTTTCAGCAGCTCATCTATATGCAGCTCTTTACAGTGGCTAAAATTACATATGAGCTAGAAAGAGCTCAACAAAATTGGACTTACAAGAACACAAAATTGCACTGTACTGTTTGGAGAGACATATGCAGCACTTTAGCTACACCTACTTTTGCAAAGATTCATTTAAGAGTAAGATGCGGAGAAGAATGATTCAAGTGAACTACACAATAAAACACATGGACCAAAACTGAAGTAACAAAACACTTCATTAAAACTATTTCAGTGTGCATTTGTGCAGAACTCAATTGAGATTTTTGTCTTGACCACAATTGCAGAACAAGATGGGATTGCAAAATATTTAGTCAACCCCCCCACTCCCCGGTGTATTGCTAAATTTAAACTGACATATCAGAACACTGTTGGGCCAAATGTCCACATCTTACAAGAGCATGCAAAAGAAAAGCAACTGTAGGTATGTGACATGAGAACTAGGTCACCGCAGAGTTAAGAGGTGCAGAGAGCTGCAAGATCTTACCTCCTGGCTTACTGCATTGCTGGAGTGGTCAGCCTGAGGATGTGGCAGCTTATATGCACACAGTCAGGTTTTACAAAGCTCGGCTTCCTTCCTTTTTGAGTTCACACATGCCGTTGCAGTCAGGAGGAAGTGTATCGAGCAATTGTCACTGTCACTGGCTGTATCTCATATTTTGCTCTCATTTAAAGGTTCCATTTGCTTTGGTGAAATCTTGTGCACAGAAAGTGTTTTGCAGCAATAGTCTGTTCTAGAGATTGGGGCTGTGGAAGTGGTTGTAAGCAAGAATAACAAGCAACAACTTTAGTGTAAAAGAGTTTTTACATACAATTGTGTTATTGTCCTTTTTTTCTAAATAAATAAATAAATTATATATATTTAAAAAAAAAACCTGCCAACATCAACTTCCACACAAGACAGAAAAAAATAAAAGAATGTACAAAGGGGATGTTGGTCCCAAAAATATCCACAAACACTTGCTTACAGTCATAGATGGATTACTTTGTAGCCTACCAGGCACAGACAGCCTCTCCTCATCTCCAATTAAGTACTGAAGTTGAACTGAAGACTTTCAACCATCAGCTACACTTGTTGGTTCAACTTCCCAGCAGAATGTCACATAAGCTGACACAAAATGACTATGGAGAGGCAAAATGCAAAGCAAGATAAAACAAAGAGACAAAGGACTTAGAGACAAAAACAAATACCTTCAAGAGTTGAAAACTGCTTTCAAAGACTTACAAAACAACTACAAAGATATGCAAAAAGATACAGATACAGATCTGACCCCTAACAATCCGAAAACCTTGCTATCTGACAGGTTTTTAGGAAAAACCAACGGAACCCATGAAAAATAGCCTGAACATACAGACAGCCTTGGATTCTGACTCCGACCTGACATTTTAGGATGAGGACGTATTATGTGACTTAACAATCCGACAGACTGGCTACATTCAGACTGCAGTATGTAATGCTCAATTCGTATTTTTGGGGGAAATCCAATTTTTTTTGCAATTTCGTTCATATTTCCAATTAAATGTGGCTTGTATGTGACCGCCTGTATGAACTTCATATGATCCACAAGTGTCCCGTGTGCGCAGAAGAGGACACGACAACATCACACGCCGCGAGCGTGCTCAGTGTTTATGGAAGTAAACACGGATGGAAACAGAACTGCGACTGCTATCCTAAACTAGCATCAGCAGCCGAGTGCTGCCTGTGCATTCCAGTCTCTTCCACCCCGTCGGAGTGCACCCCCAGGGTGGAAGAGATCCATGTATATAGTACACATAGAGTATCCAACAAGTCACTCCTGTGCAAAGTCACTTGTCAAATGATCACACAGTGTCTTACTGCTGAACAACTGCATTATTTAAGTTGACAAATAGATTATATCTTCTTATGGGGTGGCTGTGGCTCAGGTGGTAGAGCGGGTTGTCCTCCAATCGAAAGGTCAGTGGTTCGATCCCCTGTCGCTCCACAGTCGAAGTGTGTTTGGGCCAGACACTGAACTCGAAGTTGCTCCCAATGGCAGGCAGCACCTTGCATGGCTATGTAAGTGCAGACCATTTATGAAAAATCAAAAACAAATACTTTAGAAATGCAGTATGAAAAATGCAGGACACAAAGTAGAAACTCAGTGCAACAAAAGTACAACCACAACTTCCATCAACTTAGTTCACCATACTGCTGACCAGGACTTGGGATATTGTCAGGGGGTGGAAGGAACACTTAACCCAGTTAGCAGGTCTTCTGCTGAGGAAGCAGAGCCTAAAGACTCAGGTGAAGCCTCACCCATATCCTGGCAGAGTAGTCAAGATATTCTTTGGTGGCAGAGCAGCAGGTGTGGACAAGATTTGTCCTGAGATGCTGTGGGCTCTGGACATGTTGGGTTGTCTGGGCTAACATGCCTCTTCAGTTTCATGTGGACATTGGGGACAGTGTTTGTATAGTGGCAGACCAGGATGGCCATTCTCATCTTTAAAAAGGGGGACTAGAGGGTGTGCTTCAACAATCAGGGGATCACGCTGCTAAGTTTATCTGGAAATGTTTAATCCAGGGTGCTGGAGGCTCCAATAGATTGTCAAATCTCAGATTCAGGAGGAGCAATGCTGATTCTGTCCTGGACATAGAACGGGGGACCAGCTCTTTAGCCTTGCAGAGCTGCTGAGGGGGTCATGGAAGTTTGCCCAGCCACTCCACATATGTTTCATGAACTTAAAAAAGGCTTATGACCGCATCCCCTGAGGGACCTTGTACGGGGTAATATGGAATTATAAGTTACTGGGGCCTTTGATACAAGCTGGTCTGTGTACTACCAAAGTGAGAGCTGTGTTCATGTCATTGGCACAAAAAGGTTAAGTTTCTGATGGTTATGTCCAGTCCTGTATGTGACATCCATGGAGAGGATCTCAAGGCGCAGCTTGGGTGAGGAGGGTGACCGGTTTGGAAATCTCAGGACTGTGTCTCTGCTTTTTGTGGATGACATGGTTCTGTTGACTTCATCAGACAATGAACTTCACTGCATTGGGGTGGTTTGCAGCCGAGTGTGAAGTGGCCAGAATGAGAGGCAGCACTTCCAAGCCCGAGGTCATAGTTCTCTGCCAGAAACTGGAAGATTGCTGTCTTTCTACAGTTTAAGCATCTTGGGATCTTATTCACAATTGACGAGAAAATAGAGCATGAGATGAAGAGGTGCAGCATCAGCAGTAATGCAGGTTTTGTACCAAGCCATCGTAGTGAAGAGGAAAGCAAGCCATGGGCTTGGGCGGCTGTGGCTCAGGCGGTAGTGCCGTTGTCCTCTAATCGCAAGGTTGGTGGTTCGATCCCCCTCCACAGTCGAAGTGTCCTTGGGCAAGACACTAAACCCAAAGTTGCTCCCAATGGCAGGTAGCACTTGAAGCTGTCACCATTGGTGTATGAATGAGTGTGAATGGGTGAATGAGAGTGCTTTGAGTACCACTAAGGTAGAAAAGCGCTATATAAGTGCAGACCATTTACCATGTCTCATCCGGCCTGACAACACCCCCGGATCCATCAGGATGAACTGGAAAGCATGGTTGAGAGACAGATGTCTGGAATTACCTGCTTTACCTGCTGCCTCTGTGACCCAACCCAGTCAAAGAAAAAACACAACATAAACATAAAACATATAACATAAAAAGTAAACACAAGAACTTTCCCAGCTTTGTATGTATTATGTATGGTTATGTCTATCTGTATATCTACATCATGACTCCACTTAAAAGAGAATTGCCAGAGGAATTCAAAAACCTAATTGTGAGACTTCACAATAATGACCATCAGTGGAAACACAATTGCACAAGTATGAGTGGGTAGAAAACAAGCCATAGTACAGTTAATCAGAGGTGCTATGGCCATCCTCCTAAAAGGAAGTCATGAAGAATGCATTACATGCGCAATCTAGCTCTAAAAAACAGACAGGTAAGTGTTTCTGATTGGAACTATGACAGTGAATGTCATATGTATTGTCCTGACAGTGAAGCACAGAAGTGGGAGCGTGATGACATGGGGGCATGCCTCTGTGCAAAAATGTTTTTGGAGATGACATTTAAAGACGAATTGACAGAGGAGTATTCCGGCAAGATGAGATGATGAGGAATTGTCCTTCATTATAACGCTACAAAGCATACAAAAAAGTGAAAACTATAACCTAGCAAGGGGTGCCACCTGACTTGAATCTAATAGAACACCTTAGGGATTTTAAAGAAAAAGGTAGAGCAACACAACCCCTCCAGCCATGCATAGCTGAAATAAAATAATCTCTGACGAGCACAAAACATCTATCCAGCAATTTGTGGTACCACTCATGTTGAGGAGGGTTGAGTGTCATCAAAAATAAAGATGGATTTAGGAAGTATCAAAAAAATAAAAGATTTGAATCTTAGTAATGACATGTGAAATGAGTTATGTTGCATTGACTTCTTACTGTGGGAGCAGTGTTTTTAATATTAGGCAATCACTGATACAATTTTAATTTTTTAGGTGATATTTTTCACAGGAGTGTACTCACCGCTATTGTGCACTGTCCATGCACACAGACATTTCTTCGAAATTTACAAAATACTAAAATTAACACCAGTGAAAAAAACATAAAAATTAAAAGACAACATTTGGCAAAAACAAAACTCATTTATGTTGGATGTTTTCCAGCTGCCACAGCCACCTCTCCAGATATACTGCAAGATTCAGTCAGCAAACGGTAATATTTCCAAATCCTTAGATCCCATCAGAGATGCTGTTTCCTGCTGCCATTGAATTCATGTGACATAAGTAATTCTTTCATCATCACATGCTTTGTTTTCACTTTTATTTTATTTCTGCCTACCCACTTTCTTATCTGAGGAAGCACTTAAGAGGCATTTACCAGATCTGTTTGCATGTAGATGCCCCAATCATGAAAATATACTTGACTTTTCTTGTACAATCATCTATAAAAACATGATAAAAAGCTGAGCTTTTGCACATGTGATGTTTGTCAAATTTGATGTGATATCAGACATAGGAAAATGGAAGGAACTTAAGGTTGGGGTCAATTTGGTCCTTGAACAGTAAACTGTTATAAGTGCGGCATCTGTAAAAGCCATTGTTTCTGGATTATTATGTGTCCACATGGACACACATCTGGAGAGCAAAATGACTTCTTTGGTAATTTAAGCTTCATTTGACAACATTTCTGATTTTAAGCAGTCTGTAGAAATGTCTTGAGCTGTAACGTCTCTTCCACTGATAATCTGTCGTGGTAGAAACTGAGTCCCGTCAGAAGCTCGATGTCTCGGACTCGAGCAGTATGAAACTGCAGCCAATCCGCCACCCATGTCAAGTCCGACCCATTCTGAAAAGAAACCGAAAGAACAGAAGAAACAAGGAGCAAAAAACATATTAATGGGTGCTCGACTATTTAGTTCATTTTTCCATTATAGGATTGTCAGTAGGTTGTTACAGAAGTGGACTGATATGTACAAACATGCAGGAGGAGTCAGTGGTGTTACTCACAGCACAGCTCTCTGTGTGGTCGGGTCTGTGGGGCAGGATGAAGGACTTGACTTGAAGTGGACCCTCACAATTAACAGGGCTGAAGGCCGAGTTTTTACAGCTTGTCAGGATGACAAAGAAATGTGTTGGGATGGGAGCCTCATTCCTGGAGTGTCAAGAATGAAAAAACTGCTGCATTTTAAGGTGTCGTGTGCAGAAAAACAACAATAACTCATTTATAAAAGGTTTTCCTGAAAAATGTGAAGGTAATCCTCCTTTTTCATTTTTCCATATAAGTTGTGTAAAACAGTTCCACTGGCACCAAAACAGCCAGGTTTGGGGTTCTTCAGGTAAAAGCCTCACTTTCTCTCCCTCAGACATATTTCTGGTAATTGTGGACAGATAGCTTAATTTTTGTTTCATCTGACCACAGAACGTTCCTCCAGAAGGCCTTTTCTTTGTCCATCGATCAGCAGCAAACTTGCTGAAGAAAGGGTTTCTTCCTTGCACAGCAATGTCTTAAGCCATGGGAATGTAAAGCACACCTGAATGCACTGATACCAGTGTTCCAGCAGCTTCTAATTCTTTGCAGACCTGCTTTGTGGTGATTCTTGGTTGACTCTTGGCCGACTCTTGACCATCCTGACCAATTGTTTCTCAGCAGGTGGTGATAGCTGGTGTTTTCTTCCTGATCATGGCAAAGCCACAACTGTGCCATCCACTTGACTTTATACTTACAAACAATTGATTTTGGGATCTGAAGCATTGTCAAAATGACTCCAAGTGACTTTGCTTCTTCAGATCTGTACTTAGCTCCTCAAACTACCCCATTGTACTGTTGGTGGCTGAGTCTACTGAGTGTATTAAATGGGTTCTATTTAAATTGGCTCAGAGAAGTCAGCAGCTGTAGTCAATTGTTATCACTCACGAGAAGGTAAGAGGTTATGTCACAGAGAAAATTTGATTAACACAACTTTCTACATCATCAAAACAGATAATTCACATTGCTGTATGTATATTTTTGACTCAACAAATTTTGTCTCATTTATAGAAGATCTATAATAAAGCTGAGAAAGAGCCAAAATGCATAATTGTTTCATATCTATCATAGAAAATTAAAAGCTGTAAGAGTTATTGGAAACTCAAGGCAGCCATGGTATACAGTCTTTTTCGAGTATATGTACTTTTTGTACATGACTATCTAAACCTTGGGAGCTACAACTATACATTTCCGAAGTGTTTCCGAAGAGAACGATCTTATTTTAGTTTTCACAAAGATCTCTACTTAATCTACAGTCGCCTGAATTGGACTTCACTGACAAAGCACATGTATCAATTGAAGAAATGGTAATGCTGCTGTAGGCCTAACCACAAAAAAGTTTTGATTTTTTAATATTATACACTTACACACTGTGTGCACAGCACTTCCTTCTTAAGAACTGATTATTAAAGAAAACTGAATGGCTAACGATTGCCTGTAAATCTTACAGCTGTGGTTTTAATAGGAGAAATACTCACGAGAAGCTTAACCTGAATGTATGATTCATTTCCAATCAGTAAAATCACTTATCTTTGTTTTCAAAGTTGTTCTTTTCATTTTAAAGTGATTTTGTACAAAGCATCTTTAATTACATTTACAAAATAAAGCTACACTTCTTTTGCTCACCTTTTTATCATGGGGGAACAATCGATAGAGGAGAAGACACAAGTCAATTAAATGACTGATAGAAAATTAATGTGCACATTTTCTGACAAACGAAGCCATTTTTTCTCTAACTATTTTCAAATGTGAGTGTGTACAACTGTACTAAGCAATTAAGCAGTTTTGACACTTTTCAATTTAAACAAGTTTTTGATTAAGGAACAAAATAACCAACAGATTAATTGACAAATGAATGTAAACATTAAAGCCTTAACAGATGGCTAGGAGTGCATGTGTCTGTCGCTGACTTACCCAGAAATTTTTCCGACTGCATCAACATTTCCATCAAAGTCTTCATCAAATATTGGCCCACTCATGACATTGACTCCATTCAGCTGTTGTGAATATTTTGGAAGCAGGACATCATGGAAATGGGCCCAGACATCTGAGAAAATGCACACTAAAGATTTTAGTGCTCCAGCAATGTATCACAATGGAGGATTCTGTGCTCTAGAGAAAGAGGCCAATGATAACAGCATTACATTGCGCTATATGCAATAATATTGTTCATGCTCTTTGTCCCTTCTCGTGCACAAAAAGTGATGAGCCACCAGGGGGCAGTATCTGCTAGATGATTAATATTGAGATTTCCAACATATGCAACCATCAGCACTTCTGTAAAATGGGACATCAAATTCGTGAGTTTCCTTGTCTAGCACAGGTGGCCGCAGTGACAACCCAACGTCACGTCAGTGTCTCAATCAGTGGCGGCTGGTGAAAATTTGTGTGTGTGTCGGGGGACTTTTTTTTTTTTTTTTTTTTAAATTAGAATTTAGAATATGAGTAACATCAGACACAACTCTTTGCTGGAATGCAAATTTTCTACCTTTGGAGGATATTCTAATCATAATCTAGTTTAACATTATTAAGACTTACCATAACTAAATTTCAAAACCATTCATCAAACTTTCAGCAATATTTACAGGATCTGTACAAACTAAAAACACACAACAAAAATAATGAAAAACAAAACAAAACAAAACAAAAAACACTATTCAGGCTTCCAGACCAACTTTTTCGCTGGTAGTACCAGTACGACCCACTTTCTCATTTTGTTGCACCTCCCACCTGGTCAAAGGCAAAACGTTTGACTGAACATTTTCTTATCAGACGCTACGATTTCCTGATGCTACCTAAACGCCCCACGTAGCGGGCTGCGGTAGATGCTGTTTGGTGGCTGTGGTGTGGTCAGACAGGTGTGTGACCAAAAATGACTTTAAAAATAATAAACAAGGGGGTTCTCATGTCAGATTTGTCCAACGCTACACCGAGTTACATGTATTCTACACGCGGTCTTTTCTATGAGCAGTCTTTTCTCCACTGACAGCATGGCCAATGCATTAAGTTGTCACGACAGTAGCTGTGATCAAGTACCAGAGGAGGCAATAATACCTGACTGCAGCCGGTGCTGTTCCCGAAGTCGCAGCAAACCACGCCCCCTCCACACCACGCCCCCCGGGCCCCTTACACACCATGCCCCGCCCAATAATACCTGACTGCAGCCGGTGCTGTCCCCGAAGCCGCAGCAAACCACGCCCCCTACACACCACGCC